GTGCTTTACAACAGGGATCAACACAATGCCCTGTGATGGCTTTAAGAAGCTTTGGAAAGAAAGGTGGATGCCCTTTTAACACTCATCTGGACTTATCTCGCAGTGTCATACTGTAACAGGTGAATTCTGGCAAACCCTGAAAATGTCTGATGATTTCTAGTTCACTGTACATGTAGGCCTATGTAGCATGTGCGACTTCCAATTTATTTTACTGGGTTGGGTATCAGGTGTCGGACAAAAAGTCCTTCAATGTACTATTATATAGGGCAAAGCTGGGCTGTCCTGAACTGATTGCCCTTTTGGTATGTTGACAGCTGATTCAGCAACTTATGATCTCCGAGATGGTTGCTGGAAATACAAGCCAGTGTTCATCGCCGTCCCTCTTCACCATTTTTAACACTCGACTTGATCAAAATGATTGTGACTCATCAGAATCCATCTTGGGGCATTGTCTTTCCTCTCCCACCGCCCGTCTCCTTCTCCGCTAAACCGCCTCTGATCAAAACAGACACTGCCGTGAAGCCTGACACCGTGCTCAAGACGTAGAGACACAAGCAACCACTTAGGGCACAGGAACATTCGGGAATTGGAGGATTTGACTCACATCCTAAGAGCGGAGCTAAAAAAACAATGCCAGCCGATGCGGCAGGAGAAATTGAATTATCGTCGTCGGAGACCAGAAGAGCCAACATGTGCCGACCATGTCAGAACTCTCTCCAGGCATCTTCGCCTCTTGCCTGGTTTCATTTTGTTTTCGTTAAGTTTTTAAAATTTTTGATGAAGGGTGGGGGAAGATAGCTTCCTGCAGACACCCAGGCGACATATTTATTGGGAATTATCCTATTAGGTAACACCACTGTTAAAAACAAACAACATCCACATACACATTGTACATGTAAACCGTGTGGAAGGGAATAGACCAATGTGGTCACTCATTTCAAAGGCACCTTATGGGAGCATGTAGCAATTCTAAAGGTGCTTGGAACAGTACAGAAAAAAACTCTTCTTACAGAAAGGATTACAATTTTTGGAATGTAAAATCTGCTGCGCTCTGGGATAAGTTCTAGGCCACTATCAAACAGTCGCTTTGTGAAACTGTCATTTCTCATAGTGTGACATCTCAAGCAATAAATCTGGCACTCCCCAAGTCCCTCATTAACCTCATATCTCTTTTCCCAAAGGCGCAGAAAAAAATCCACCTCATCGCTCATCTTTCTCCTTCAGTGGGCATGCTGACATTTTCACTGGGTGCTCTGTAGAATCATGGTCATCTACTTCATTCACAGAAATGGGTCTTTATCCAAGAGAAAACTTTCCTGGCTTTTTTTTTGGGGGGGGCAGTGCACCAGGGAAATAAAGAGAAAGGGCAAACAAGGAAACAAGATGATATCAATTTCCCTTCGGTGCACAGAGGGATCTATTTATCACAAGTTGGCAGGTGGATTCTGTAAAAGGTGATGCTACGTGGCTTCCCCCCTGGTGAATTTCAATTTTGGAGGGGGGTCTCAACAAACCACTTTTGAGGTATTTTGAAGTTGGATGACAAGAAGAGTATGGTTTCATAGAGTCTCTGAAAGCACAATGGGTCCATAAAAAATTCAAACAATTTTCAAGTTTCTAGTTATCTTAAAATCACATTTACGAGCCAAAAATTATAAGTGTTTTTTCAAAAGCTCTTAACATATATAGGCCTACACCAACAAATATCTCCATCTCCGAGCCGTCAACATTTAGCTCTTCCACGAGACAACATTACAGTCTACAGTGTTACTGTGCCTTTAGTAGAAAAAAGAAATCGTTGGGAATGTTATTGTTACACATTATCACTGGAGCCAAACCACCAACACTGCTTGTGGGAGCCCCACTCAACCAAACAAGACAGGCTACAGATGCATTTGTACACATTCAATTGAAAATTGGTCACACACAGTGGCATCTTAGTTCAGATTCCTAAGTTGGCAGTTGAAGAACTGCCTCTCAAATTTTCTTCCATTCAGCCTCTCTTTCCTCTTTCACGCAGTACTAAGAAGATTCACTTGCAGCCAAGGTAGCCTGGCAACAAATGAAGAAATAAAACTTGTCATCAGCTGACATGAAATCTCAAGTGTACTGCTGCCCTCCCACTTTTGGTTTCCTGTGCCCAGGGCAACTGTAAACTCAATGCAGATGCAGAATGGCTTTCTGTGAGGAGCTTCCAAGAGAGAGAGGGCAAGCTTGAGGCAGAGCTCACATATATTACTGTAGCTTGAATATCAGAGAGGGTGTAACCCCTCCCCCCCCCATTCCTATTGGCCAAACCGTGGGATTACTTCTCATCTGAAATGGAGAGGGGGAGAAAGGGACAGATTCGGTGCACGGGGTTCCTGCACCTAAAGGACAATTAAAGTCCATGGCTTTTCCACGACCAAATTATGAAAAACCATGACCCAATACCGCAATTTCTTGGACTCTTTGGACTTTAAAAGTTGCAAAGAAAATCACATATTTTTGCACTTATTTCTGATAACAGAAATCACACACAGTGTTTGAAAAATTATATGACTTTTTCATGACTTTAGTCGTTTTTACCAAATTCCAGGCCTGGGAAACGAACAAATTTCCATTACTTTTTCATGACTTTTCCAGGCCGTGGGAACCCTGAATGCATGTCATGATCACCATGTTATGCTATAGAAGCCCAGGATTGCCAGCCTCTTGGCTGATTTGGCCTTGGGGTATCTTCATCCATCCTTAGCTCCGTCCCCCGGGAACTCTGGAAGACATTGAACTGCCCCTGCTGGTCATGGTCCCAGCCTGTGGACTTTTCATCAGAGCTGTTCTTCTCCAAGACTGTTGACAAAGGCTGACAGAATCAGGCATCATGCTCGTCTCAAGCCACGCCCGTTTGAGTTGACGAACCAAGTTGAACTGAACAGATTTTAATGCAGGTCTACAAGAAGACCGCAAACTGTTCAGCACAGGAGCATCATCCAAGGTAAAGGTCAGACTACGTCAATTTCTCATCACACCCTCATCCAAGATTTCTCCAGAACTTGAAAAAAGATTTTGCTGTCGTAGTTCACTGGTACAGGTAATTCATGATGGTGAAACCTTGTGACAGATCTCTGACTTGATGCAGACTTTTTGCATGAAACAAGAGGGAAACAATGCCAGGTTGAAAGCAGGGTTGTAAAATCCAATTTTCAACCAAGGGAAGTCATGGGTTCGCCCAGGGTTGAGTTCAACCCAGGTTGAGAAGCTGTAGTATGACAAGGCCTCCTGTAGATGTCCCATGGCAGGCACAAGCCCCAGGATACACGTCTCGTTCAGACTTCAAATATACATTGAGAAACTTTGAGGTACAAAAGAAATGAAGTTGGAATGTCTGATTTTTTTCTCAAAGATTGTTTTCTAAATTCTGGAATGGCGGGACTATGTTGCAAGCGGGAGAGAAAAGCTTCATTGTAAGCAGATATGACACTCAGACAAGTCAATAAACTTAGATCCCAAAGTAGATTTTGGCGTGAGAGACTCTTGCGTGACTCTTTGCAAATCTCTTTGCAAGTCAGATTCCAGTAACATGGCACCCATTTGTCTTAAAATGGAAAATTACAAAACAAATTTGAATTGGGGGAAAACAGAAAACTACTGACATCAAGCCATCCTGCACGATTAACCAGAGCTGGCTCTATTCTCAACCCTGTATTCTCTAAGCCCAACCTGTCAAAAAGCGCCTTAACTGGGATTACTCCAGCTTGATACTCCTTTGACGAATACTGGGGAACATACCGACTCAGCGGCAACAAGCCGAGCCCAGGCATGGCTGCTGTGCATTCACCTGTTGCTTCACGCCCTGTTGGTCAGACTCAATTTATCAAAGTCAGTTCTGATCCACTCCATTTGGCGATGCTGTTGTGGGGGTTTGTGATGGTTTATAACAATGCAACCTTAGAACCAGACTCCCAAAATATCTCCACTGGGGTCATTACCCGCAGTCTTCAATCTCTCTTTCTTCAAGTAACCATAACAAAATCAAATATCTTCTCTGCACTGAAAGCATCCTCCCTCCCTACCTCTCTCCCCCCAACAGCAAAGCAACGGACAGCTTAGTCGGAAAGATTTCAAGTTGGCGAGAGGTGTAAATGTCCAGAGTGTGACGTCCAACAGAAATTGATCACAAGTGCCTGCCCAGCGCATCCTGTGCCAGGCGCACTTTAATCTGTGCAGAAATGTGAAACTCCTTCTTCTGACAGAATGCTATGCTTACATCAAAATATGACATCTTTTGTTGCTGTGTGGACAGCATTAATTATTCAAATGATGCTCAACATCATTGCTATCCTTTTTGTTTTGTACTGCTTTGTTTTGGGTCAGTTTGTAGCAGCGGGAGAGCAACTGGATGGTAATTAAGTTTGCTTTTTTGCAATCCTGCAAGGTTTACATGTGTTTTGTGTCTTTGTGGATGTGGTGTTGTTGCTTGTGCTGCTGTTTCTAAGTTTGTGTGTTACTGTATTTTGTGTGTGTTTGTTGGGTTGTTGGGGTGTTTGTTTAAATGATGTAGATTCTCATCAAAAACTCTATTTTGAGCTTTTTTTTTTAAATTTTGTAAACTGTGTAAATTTTCTGTGTTTTAATCCTGCAAAATAAATAAATGAAATATATACAAGCTGCAGTGTGGACAGCATAAATTATTTAAATGATGCTCAATATGTACAAGGACATATGAGGTAGTCCTGGCATGACTGAAGCATGAATATTACTGTGGTCAGTTACATGTAGGCCAATGTGATTGATCTCGTCAATGAAAATTATTTTTTTACTTCTACGTTTTTGGGAACACTGTAATAAACTGGGGAAACCCACAAGAACTTGTAGAGGAAACAAATGGCACATTTTCGGAACTTTTAAGGGGCACCAAAACCCCCGTGTTGACAAACAGTGGCTTGGCTCTACCTTCCAAAATCCCGCTTTAATCTTCCCAATCCTCCTTGTAGAAAAAAAAAAGAAATCCATGTATTTACCATACTGGCATCTTGGTCCGTCAAATCCAGGGGGGCAGAGACACATCTGGGAATAGCCACCTTGGCAGGTTCCACCATTGAAGCACACCCCCATGCTACAGGAAGCTGCGGATTATGGGAAAAGATTGCAAAAACAAGAAACAAACTGTTAACCACAGAACTCAGGGAGGGATGACAGTCCAACATTTGTCGGTCAACAGATGTTTACACATTCAAGTGCCAAGACTTACATGTATTTGACAGACACTCAACTGCGTTCCAATCTTCTACAAATTTCAAAAGCTTGCAAGTGTCAACTTCCGCTTAAAAAAAACCCAGTCAAACAAGTGAGTGAAACGAGAAATGAATTGTGACCTGATTGACCTCCATAACTGTTTCACTGCTCGATCTACTGAATCAATGTCATAACATTAACCGTGTACATCTTCGTGAACATCAAAACAACGCAAGCAAGGTCAACCTGAGAAACATCAGTTTGGCATCGTGCAGAGTTTTAAAATTTTGTTTGACAGGATTACGTGTACCTGTGTGGATGACAGTTTGCAATGTATTGAACCACGATTTTTAAAAACCCAAAGAAGTGAAAAGATGTTTCAGGGAACACATAGAAATTGAATGATTGTCCCATTCAAGTCAAATTTATAAGGAAACACAATCAAAGGAATTTTATAATTCTGAAAAAAATACTCCATTTCTTTCAAGAACATACTTTTCAAACAATCACGGTCTGATGTTTGGAAACTCAAAAAAGTTGGGAAGAGTCAAAATTCACAATCCACACTTAGGAAAAGAATACCGATCTACATGCAGAGAGTTTAGAAGTTGCAAAAGCAGATTATCAGCACAATTCCAAGGGCAGGGCACAGCTGGTCTGTAATTTTGGTCTCCTCTTAGAAACACTATCAAATGTAACTTGACCCAGATTTCTTTTTTATCTCTGTACCCTTCAACACAATCAAGGACAGATAACAGAACTTGAAATTTCCCATTACCTTCAAGGGCTATTACCGAGTCTGCAAAGGAAGTTTTTGAACCACATTTTTTTTCTTTGATGGGGAAGTCATCAAGATTCTTTCCTTGTCAACTCTGTGACCCCCTAAATATTCACCACTTGAAATGCAAACATTCCACAGTGAGTAGGTCTGTTTTGGGAACTTGTAGGAGACATGTTGTGTGATTGTCAACAGCAGATGCATTGAGATGCTCGATGTTCTACCACTTGGCCCAAAACCATCAAAATACCAGACACCAACCTGGTGTCTGAGTGGTATGCTATCACAGTCTTAGACACACTGTTAGAAGACCATTAGAAAGTTCTGGCTGCACAAAGATTTTTTTGGTCCATGCATGTTGAATTTGTACTGGTGCAAAATGTGTTTCAGGAAGGTCGTTTTCTGACTTTTCTTGCCAGCAAAAGTCTTGCCAGCAGAAGTTAAAATCTATTGACAGCAGCGTTATTTACTAAAGGTCATAAAGACCAGGGACAGTTTGGTTGTTCGGATTTCTCAAGAGCTTGTCACTCGAATGTGTCACTGGGGTATTTCTTGAGTCCAAGTAGGCATCTTATGCCAACCAACCACATCCACAAAGAACTCAGAAGTCTTCTGCTTGGAATGGTACAGCTACAGGTACCTTTTACTCTCTCTTTCAAGGAAAAGGCATTACTAAATAATGAGGGAAAACTAACATAAACCAGTTGGAAATGAGAGCTCAGTTGTGGCCCCTTAGGATGCTGAAAGTTTAAATCTGTCATCAGCTACAGTACATGCTATTTACCAAACACTGCTCACTGTCATTTGGCTTTCAAAACAACCTTGCCTTGTTCAGTGTCTACTTTTATTTTTCCCAGGCTGCTCCTTGTTTATACATGGACGTGTATACTTCCCTTTTATCTGTTCTTGTGAACTTGACAAAAATTTGCTTCTTTATGGAACACATGTATGAATTAATTTTGAGTACTTATTTCATATTTCATATGACAATCCACACGTGGAAGTAGCAATATGTTATAATTCTAAAAATAGATTACTCTGAAATCCAATCTTAATCCTAAAAAGACAGCAGATGCTCCAGCGAGGATTATGCCTGGTTGCCTGGTTTAATCCAGGTATTGCACGAATGCACCACTTAACAAGTTGAATCATGCTGAATTCCTGCCTCCAGGGTAAGCGACAAAGCAGTGGAAAAACTGCAATGAGGCAAAGGCTGCGCGGTGGATTCATACATGAGTCCACAAAACGGGATAGTGCAAGATATGGGGCTGATGGGTAACTCCCCCCCCCCACATGTCCAATCCCTATACACACTCTAGACTTTTGTTACCTAACACATCCCCCCTAGAAGTCTGTAAAGAATTCCTGAGATTCCGATCAAACAATGAGCAACACAAAGGCGGGGGGGTTCTCTCCTTCCCATATCTTGCATCATAAGCAAAAGGGCAGACAAGTCCAATGCCAATCGCTGTGAGGCCAGCTGTGGACCAGGTGTGAATGGACATGCTTGCCCAGCCAAACAGAACAAGAAACAGACCAACAAAAGGCCCTTACCCTTTCAGATCTTTAAAATTCTAAGGGATCACACTAACCTCAGAAACTTCCAACACTTGGCCTTTAGAGAATATTACGCTTTCTGAAAATTTTAGCTCTGCCTAAGATGTGGGCACACGTGCACAGTGGTTATGTCAAAGAGCAGATTTTCTTTTTCAAAGGCATTCCTTGGTCACCGCGCAAGCTGAGACTAAATTAGCTTTGCCTGTGCAACACACCTTGCATGAATTATGGCCCACTGACAGAGATGATTCAGTCTTGTTTTTTAACGCGACACAGATATTTCTGCAGCAGTTTCATGACGCCACAATTTTGCTTTTAATAGTGGGAGGTAAGGCTGCATTCCATAGTTTTTGTTGAACAGCCCCGTACTAGTAACTTTCAATGCTCTGTTGAACATCTAAGCATTTTGAAAACTTCCTACATGTGCCATACCTTTGTCCCTTTTAAGCTGGCAATGAGAGCAGCAATGAGCTGGAAACTCACACACAAATAATTGGAATAAATTACCAATCACTTTTCAGAGCTGTTGATCACAATGGTAACACCAAAATGTCACAACTGTGGTTCTGCATTACGGGTATTTTTGACATCCATATACAAGTACCTTATAGTATAGAATTTGAACTTGCAATAACCATTTCTATAAATAAAGACCGGTAATTGACCCTTGTTTCCTGAATGAGAAAGCTCACGCCCATTCCAGGTTTCTACTTGCCCTCCCAGCATCCACCTCTGACAGTGTGCCTAGGAATTTTTGATGCCCTTCTGAGTGAGACTGTTTACACTTAACCCAGACAGGTGACCTCATACCTCGACCCCTGTCCATACAGTTATGGATTTCTGTCCAAAAGTTTCAAGCACACAGGAAAAGCTTTGTCTTTAGAACCAGGTGGAACACTTGTTTTAGACCATTATGAACCATGTAAATTTCTTCCCTGCCCCTCTCTGTGTACACTTCCTGGGTCACTTTGGGTGTTATCAAAACATCACATCATTGAGGTAGTTTTTCCAAAGGCGACGCAGAAAGCTGCTTTAATGAGGTGATCTGACTATGAAAAGGAGCAGAAACGTGACCGGTTGAATGCAGGTTTGCTAACTCAACCTTTTACTGTTGCAATTTGCTAGTAATTTTGTCAACTTGTCCCTTTTTTTTACAAAGCAAGGCATTGTGACAAGCTTTTTCAATTTTTAGGTCATGTTGTGAGTGGCCAGTAAGAATTTTAAGGAGGAAAGTTGTGGTTAACTTAATGTTGACATTCAATTACTAGACTGTTTGCAAGGTCTTCCTGAAGAAGGACATAAAAGCGCTACTGTTTGGGTAATTAGAGGCCTGAGGATTTAAATTTGGAAATGCAAACAGAGGTCAGAAGACAGGGAGAACTGTGAACATTTCTTCATTTAAGACCTCAGACAAACTGTAGTCCATTTTAAGCCTTTGGTTTGACCACCCGTCTTCAAGACTGAGGAGAAGTGGGTCTCCTCCTGACAGGACTGATCCCTTAGGACAGAACCAAAGAAATTCCTCCTCCACTTCTTTCAGGGGCAGAGTTGGGTGTGCGGGAAGTTGATGGATTTATGACCCATAGCCTTGTGCACAACTTGATAGTACCTGTGTCAAATGCTTCTTTAAAATATTTTGCTGTGTTTTTTTGGTTCGTTTCTTTGTTTGTTCAGGATGGCATAGTAAGTCTACGTCCCCACGGAAATTCAAGTTAATCTGGTGCAAACTAACACTCTTCATGTGATGGACATAAGAAACAAACAGATAAAGCATTGAAATCACAAACATTAAGCAGAAAGTCAGCACATTACTGACTTCCTCAGCACTTCATCTCAATGACATTCTCTTGTCTCTGGCTAATCCGACCTAGGTGCTGAATGAAAAAGGATAGCTTCCTGCTTTAAGTACAAACACTAATGATGGATACATGGATCACTGCGGTGCAACTTCTTAGAAGCTTCCCCAGGAGGTCTGCTGCACTTCTTGCAGACTTTAACCAAGACTAAGTTAACCTTCATGTCAAGAGCTTATAAAGAGGATGGTACACTAAAAGTGCACAGCAGATGAATAGTGTTTTACAACTTTGTTTAAAAATACCAATGAAGTCATTTCCTACTATTTTGCTAATAAGAACCTAATCTTCCACTGTGCAGGAAACAAATTCCAGTTTTTGTGTTCAGGCCTGCAAAGGGCATTGGGCTTCCATAAGTACCGATAATGAATTTCGGTAATGGCTTGCAATACATGTCCGTAGGTCTATGTACAGCTTCCTCAATCCTGCAAAATCCAATCAAACCTCGTAGTGGATTTTAAGGGCCAGAGAGTGCAAGGGTTAGGATCAACTTTTAAAATGTATGGAACAGGCTCCTAAAATGACTAACAACAAAATGATGGTTCTGGAACTTCGACTATCGACAGTTATTGCTACACAGATTTGCAGATGAATTCAATCATGCAGGAAGGCAAAGCATACAACATCAGCAGCAATTCAGCATGACAGAGAGATTTTATCAGAAGCAACAGGGCAGTTCCCTCCTAACTGGCCAAATATTTGA